CTTATAGTCACCTGGCAAAAACAAAACAAAACAAAAAAAACCCAACCAGATCCCCAGCCTGGTTTTGATGAGATTAAACGGCCTTTTCAACCTGGATTCTATCCTCAGGGCTCTTGTCTGGACTCTATCCTTGGGGCTTTTGTCTTGGTGGGTCTTGGCAGAGCTACCCTGGACTGCACAGAACCTCAGGCCAGCACATTTTATTTATTTTATTTTTTGCAGAGAGGAGACTGTCTGTGTAAATCATTTGAATTACTCAAAAATCTCAGTGGCTCAGTGCCCGCAATCCTGCAGGAACACTTCCCTGGCTGGTGGGGGCGCTCCTTCCATCAGGCTGCCTGCCTAACCCTGCACATCTCCCTGTGAGGCCCCTGGGCGGATGCTAGATGGCAGAATGATTGGAGCCCACTGCAGCACTGATCCCACTCCCGGAGTCAGCAAGTAGGGCCAGGGTGGACAGACTCTGAACAAGAGGACCAAAAGAGGACAGGGGTCCACCCAAAGAGGTTCGAGCAAGACATTGGATGTGGGCCACCAAGTTGGCCAGTTCCTGGTAGAAGGAAGCACCTTCAGGGAGTTTAGACGTGGGTCCTATGGCAGCACCCTCTTGTGTCTAGACCTCTAGGTGGTGTTTTGCAGGGGCCTGGCAACCTTCCTCTGCATTGGCACCTCAGAGGACTACGGTGCAGGGGTTTCCACAGGTCATACTTTGAGAAACGTTGCTCCTTTGGTCACTCCAGGTGGGAAGACTTTTCTGAGATGGGGTTTGCACGGGGCTGTCCAGACCAGAGGCTGTCACTGCCCTATGTCTCCAAATAGAAAGAGGGTGACAGGAGGCGATGACAGTGTGGCCTCCCATGAGCCTTTGATGTGACAGCTCCAGGAGGCCCCTCATTGGCCTCTTGCTTCTCCACGCCACTATCAGCTCTCTGACGTGAAGGGGACCCTGGTAATGAGGCTCTGTTAATGGACCTGGATCCCCACTCTCAGAACTCAATGTTCAGAATAAACAACGGGGCAGAATCCTATTAAATAAAGGCTCCCAATGCCGAGGACAAATTAAGCCCTTGGGAAATGCCGTACAAAGAATACATTTTTTTTTCTAGTGTCGAATCAAGATCAATAGAGGAAAACAAATAATTTCAAGTGAGAGTTGTCATAATGACACTCAGGTTTGGGCTGGGGTTGTACACATTATTTTGGCCCGAGGATATCCCAGCTTATATAATGAGGGTGCGAGAGTGGGGCTGGTCCTGGGTGGCAGGGGTGCAGAGACTCCCAGGTGGCGCAGCCTGGCTGATGTCGAGTCTCATTTGTCTCTGTCGAGGCTCCCTGTGCTGTGAAGCCATTGGGCCTGTTGTGTGTGCCTCAGAGCTGCCTGCGTTTGGGCCAGCTCTGGAGGAGCAAAAGGAGCCAGAGCCAGAGCTTTGTTCAAAGGGGAGAGATCTCCACACAGCCAGCAGACTGCTGTGTGGAACTCACCCCCAGGCGGGGGTGATCCCCAGTCATCTGCTTGGATTCCCCCACTCTCTGCAGCTCTCCCTACCTGCCATTCACTTTGGGACTCATGTCTGCAGCACCCAGTGTATTGTCTGGAGGCAGTAAAATTCTTACCTGTCACCCCACGCTGATCTGGAGGAAGTCTGTCTTCTTGGAACGCTTGCTGAATTCCTTCTTGCTCTTCCTGATTCTTGATGGCCTGAAAATCACCCTTGCCTGTCCCCAGAGAGCCAGGCAATGTTCTTAGCTGGCATATATCCCCTCCTGCTCCCCTGAGTGGATGTCCCAGTGACTCTGGCTGTCCTGTTGAATCAGGGCACCCATCTCCTGCCAGGACCCCTTGATGCAATCTCAGCTCCTCCTATGGTCTCTGAGCCATGCTCCGCCAAACAAGTCATTTCCATTAGAGTTCTGGGAGACTAGGATGGACCAGACTCAGGCCTCAGAAGGCAGAGACTCTAGTTTTATCTAACTGGTCTCCACAACAGACAAGGAAACACACACACACACACACACACACACACACACACACACACACAGAGAGAGAGAGAGAGAGAGAGAGAGAGAGAGAGTTGACACTAGTACACAGTGGCCATGGCCCTGGGTTGGGAGTTACTGTACTATGGTGTATGGGCGATGTATCTGAGCGTTCCCTCCATGCAGATTGTACTACATGCCCCAGAGGTGTGTGTACCTTTAGGATGAGTCACGGCACCCAGTAGGTGCTGCATCTTTTCCCACTTTCTAGCTGAGAAGCAAGTGACTGGGCTTGGGCCTGGGCATCAGGTGGACGCTCGTCTTCTGCCTCCCAGGTAGGTCTCCTCTGCTCTATTGCAGATGGAGAGGTGTAGAGGGGTCATGGGAAGACCTGGGTAGGAGCTAGAGGTCTTGTGGAGGGTCTGGGGCTGGCCGGGTGGAAAGCTGGGAGGAGGGAAGTCCCCCAGGCTGCCGAAAGCCCTGGTGGCCCAAGGCACACACTATGGGGAGGGACTGAGATGCTTTGCCTCTTCTAGAAACTCACAGCGGAGGACAGAAACAAGGTTCCAGTGGGTAGAGTGAAGCTTTGAGGAGAGTAGGAGAAGATCAGAGGGATGGAGCCCTGTGATTGAATGCTGGTGGTCTCCAAGAACAAAGGAAGGCTAGAAAACACATTTTCTGTCTCCGTCTCTCTTTCTTGCTGTGTGTAGGATGTCTTACCACATGATAGCCTACACTTCCTTAGGACTTTGCCAGAGAGAAGGCAAGCATCAATTGTGGGATGTTGACCTTGGATACGAACTGTAAGCCCAAAGAAACTTTTCTTGTTTGTACTTTTCCCTATCTCTGGTCTTGTTTGTAATTTTCCTCATCTCTGGCCTTACGTTACCATCGACAGAAGTTGGTTAAAATACTCATTGTCTTGTCTGGGGTTCAGGTAAAGGCTGCTCTGCCTTCTCTGGGGGTTGCTGGCATGAATTAGCTTGTTCAGTAAAGGTTCTGAGAAGTCCTGGAGCAATGTTTACTTTTCCCAATGTGCCGGGCATACCCGACAGTGGATGCCCCTTCTTGTCCCCTCATATTTCTTGTTGACTCCCTATGACGCTTAGAGTTATAGTTACCTATAAGCAATGTGGCCTGCAGGGCACCGGGGTCCCCAGCCCCAGAACTTTGAAATAGGGTGAAACCTGGTGAGAGGGAATCTGGCATCTAAATCCCTGGAAGATTCCTAAACCCACACCAGCACGTCAGCTATTTAAGTGACAGTCAACTTCATTTCTGTGTTCAGCTTATACAGAGGACAGGTAGAACTGAGCAAGGTTGCTTATCTTGACGTTGTTAGTGAGACTCGGGGATAGAAACGGAACCAGTGATGTAGCTCATGTGTTAAAGAATGCTGTCTAGCACGGACCAGGCCCCGGCACTACTCAAACCTGGCCTGGCATACATGCACTGTCATGAGGTGATACATTGTTTCTGATCTGATAAAGCTTGCCTGGAGATCAAAATGCAAAACCAGTCACAGCCATAGAGGACAGCCACACACCTTTAATCCCAACGCTGAGGAAAAAGAGGCAGACAGATCTCTGTGAGTTCAAGGCCACCCAGGGCTACAAGAGCGTGAATCAGTCTAAGAGAAACACAGCTCACGCCTTGAGTCCCAGCACCAGAGAGACTATAAGGAAGAAGCAAAGGGTCTCGGGAGATTCCGTCCCCAGCCACCATGCCTAGGATTTGTGGAGCCAGGATTGCCCTTTGAGTCTGAGGTAGAGGTGAGAGCTGGTGGCTAGCCACTTTGCTTTCCTGATCTTCGGCGACTTTATTAGATTATAAGCAACAGATCACCACATTGTTACTTAGAACCTCTGTCTCAAAACCCACCCACTGACCAGATAAGCCAACAAAAAATGAATCAATCACAATGACTATGAGGAGGAGGACTTGAAGGGCCTGTGGTGCTTCTGAACCTCGGTAGCTGGAGAGAATGGGAAAGTTGCCTGTGCTCTGAGAGGGAGGGTTCCCCAAGAGTGTGCTGGGCCAGCAAAGCATGGTACATGAGATCTAGGGCCCAGCACATGTTAGGCAAGAGCTCTACCCAAGACCTTTATAAAACTTGTTTTTGTTTGTTTGTTTGTTTGTTTGTTTTGAGACAGGATCCTACTGAGTAGCCCAGGTTGGCCTTGAACTTGCTCTGTTGCTCATGCAGGTCTTGAACCCCTCTCTCAGCCTCTCTAGGGATCACAGGCATGTGCCATCAGAGCCAGTATAACAGTTAAATGAAAGGGGGGGCCACAATTTGGGCATTTGCATTTACATGCAAATATGCACATACATGGTCTGACACACATCATGGAACCGGCAGGAAGAGAGCAAGCTGTAGGTACAGAATCTCGGAATTCTACGTATGTCCCTCACTGATTTGTAACTCAGAGGAAACAATCTGACCCATGCACTCTTCAGTCTGTTCATCCAGAAAATACGGTAATTATATTTCAATCTCCAGAAATTATGGAGGGAAGTCAGCAATGAATTAAGTCACATGAGCAAGGCTTCTGAGCGGTTGACTGGCCCCTGGCTGGGGCAGAGTAAGAAAGCTGCTATTTTTTTTTTAAACCATAGAGCAACTCTTCTGGTCCACACATCTTCCCATCTCAAACCAACGATGGAAGTGTAGCCCTTTGTGTTGGGGCATGATAGTTTAGTTAGAAATGCCTTTTCTGTCCTGTAGCACACGTCCTAATAGCTTGGCTTAAAAAGGAAGATGCTTGGGTACAATTCACTGGATTGTTATCTATGGTGGTACTTCCTGGGGCTCCCTGCTCTGGACTGAAGGCTAGAAAGCAGTTAGAAGATCCCCACAGCCCGCTGGGCCTCTCGGCTTCCCCAGGGGAGGATGCTGGGGATGGGTCAAGGGGCCTGCAGCCTTATGGAGAGGCCTGGCATTTTAGAAGCAGCGAGTACTCATGTTTACTCATGCTTTTGCTTAGTGTTGCTGGGTTGCAGACGGCAGACACTAACACTGGTTAACTTCAGCAAAAAGGAATTTATTGGCAGGATGTTGGGAACTTGGAGAAGTGACAGGATCCTAGAGGAGTAGACTCTGGGAGGGTGTGAGCCTGGGCCTTTCTAAACACTTAGATCAGGAGTTGTGACTACTACAGACGGCAGAGAACATCTGATCTGTGTGTTTCTGAGCTCGAGATGGTAACCTCCAGCTTTGTTGCCTGTCCCTGGATTCAGTGGCCTTTGTCATTCTTCCTGCTTGTCTGTCCCCTGAGGATCCCTCCTTTCCAGGCTTCATGAATTCCCTGATGCAAAGTCTTGTGGACAAGCGGCTAAGTCATGCTCTCACTGTGGATGGAACTGTAGATCCTAGTATCCTTTGTAGGATTCTGTAATGCAAGGTCCCAGCCTCCTTTGAGGTAGGGCGTAGACCCATGGATAGATGGGTCACTCACGTGTCACCTGGGGAACAAGTAGCAGGCAGTGCTATAGAATACTGTCCAGGTGCTTCTGTGTGAGTGGCAGGATGATACAGCAGCTTCAGCAGTGACCAGCTGGAAGGATGGCCATGCTGTGCCCAGCATGGGAAGCAAGGTGGCATCCTGTATGTAGTCACATGGATTGGTGTCCTGAGGACTATTCAGCTAAGATCCCAGCTGTGACCTGGCTGTCTTGCTGCTGCCCATCTGCCAGTCTTCCTACCAGGCCTGTGATCTTTCTCACCTTCTACGGAACAAATCCCTGCCTGCTCCAAACTGACCAAGCTGTTGCCAGCAATGCAGAAGCTTGGCTGACATTTTGCATGACTTTCCACAGATGCGTGCTCCCAGAAGAGAGGTCGAGACACGTTCCTGTTCCCCAGTGGGACCCAGGAGACATGGGGAGTTGGAGTTGGCCCTTTGGTTTTTCACAATGAGAGGAGCAAGGAGGCTAGAATTCCCCCTCGGCCCGCCGGGACCACACACAGTGGGGAAGAGGCAAATTCCAGAAGGGAATGCAGGCTACTGTTAAATGAGGAGTGTGGGAGCGCAGTTAGCAAAGCAGGACACATGTGCACTAACCGACCCCTGCATCCAAGTGAGTAGGATGCGGAGGAAGCGGGTATCCCCCTCCCTTCATTCATTTGGACTCTACATAGATACACTGCAACCTTGAATGCATCCAGACGCTGTGGAGTTCTGGGATACAACACGGACAGCCCCTCCCCTCAGAAGCTGAGGTAAGCAAAGTGACAAAGGAAGGCTAGACCTTGGAGGAGGGCTGAGGGTGGGGCAAAGAGAGGAGGAGGGCCGGAACTACAACAGCTTCAAATGGTCTCAGCATCATACAGGCTACGAGCATGGGCATGGAGGAGAGGTAGGGGTAGAGAAGAGTATGTCCATAGGAAGGTGAAAGTTGGGGAGAGAACCTGAGGGTCAGGCTGGAGTTTAGAGGTAAGGGCTTGAATGCCATGCGAGCAGGGATCATTGGAAGTGTTCCTTCGGGAGAGGCTTTTCATCAGGTCGGTCTCTGAGAAGTTCTGTGGGGATTGTGAGAAGCATTAGCAGTGACTGGAGAGAAAGGTACCATGCAACAGGGGAGACTAAAGCTGGGGCTGTCGCCTGGAAGCCACACCAATGGCCTGGGCTTGAGCTGGTAGACTCTCCACCGTGGATCTGCTGGCAGCGGCTCTCAAACTGATGACCCTTTCGCAAGGGGCCTAAAGCTGTTGGAAGACGTGTATATTTACAGTACAATTCATAACAACAGTAGCAAAATCATAGTTGTGGAGTCGCAATGAACATAACGGTTGGGGGTCACCACAATACGAGGAACTGCATTGTAGGCCGCACCATGAGGAAGGTTGATAGCCTCTGTTCTAGAGGAAGCACTGAATGTAGGCTCGTGTCTAGTATTTGGGTCTTCGGTTTGGAGGAGGTGGGCTCCCCTAGAAGCCATACCCTGTTGCCACTCCCAGATCTGCCCAGCTTGCTAGGTGACTGGCTTGTCCTTTTCTTTCTGGACACGGTGACTTCCAACGGTGCTCTGGGAAATCTCCAGGCCTTTCCCAGGAAAGCCGTTCCCCAGCCCCCCATAGTCTGCCTTACAGGTAGAAGACTCCACCCTAGATGATTGTGATGTAAGTGATCCCACCATTAATGTCCATTGGGGGGGGAATCAATGGATAAGCTTTGTGAGTTCCCATGTGGTTCTTACTGCCCTGTATGACTAACATGGCCTGGCTTGCCACATACAGTTTCTACTTTATGTAGGCAAGTCCCATGTCAAAACTCCCATAGCCCAGATAAGCTAGAAGTTGTCACCTATGTTTTAGCAGTCTGGAGTGGTCACGGGGGTGGGCTGAACATCAGGTAATCTCTGTAGAAGCGGAAATGCACGAGGGAGATGGGCCAGAGACCCACTGAGGCAGCTGGGGAAGCTACAAGAGGAGAGCCCAGGGTGTAAGAGATTGATTATCCCAGGGCTGGCAAATGCGTGCGTCTGAGTTTCGGGGACTGCCTACCCGGGACTGGGAACACTGGTCTGGTGTCAGGATCACTCTGGATTGTATTCCACAGAGAACCGTGACACCGTCTACTGAGCCCCACAGCAATTCAGCCTTACCGGCAGGCATAACTCCAGAGGAGGGCAAGACAGTGGCTCCACAGAGCCTGTGGGCTCCAGGCTTCTCCATCCTGTCCCCACCAGCCTGGGTCATCTCACCGTGGAACTCCAGCTCCAGCCGTAGCCTCCCTCCTGGAGGTCAGGGATGTGACGGGGCAGGAGCAGTGTCTGGAGGAGGCAGCAAGGCAAAGCTTTCAGCCTTCCTTGGAGACACTAGCTGCTTCCCACCGGTCAGGCCTGCTGTGGTGCCTCCTCTTGAAGAGAGGCTGGGAAATGGTGTGTTTCAGCCAACTGGAACCAATTCAGGAAAAGAAAGAAACAAGTGGCTCTGTTTGGACAGTTAGCAGAGCTCTCAGGAGGGTCACAGAGGCTTCTGAAATACACTGGCCATCCAATCTCCCTATCACACGACACTAACTTGTGTCACACGGTACCCTGGGTCCCCGATGCCATAGATGCCAGTTTTGGCATGACCCACACTGCTGGGGGTGCCACCAACAGGCTGCCGGAAGCCCCATTTCTTTTCTCTTCCCAACAAAGCCAGATGGCAAGCAGTGTGACTCCATCTCCGGCAAGGTCCAGGGGACTTTGTCCCCTCCCTGCCTGGAAGGCTGTGCCCCCCCCCCATGCACTTCCTGTGGCCCACAGCCCAGCCTCACTGTGAGTGAGATTTGCCCTTCCTCCTCCTTCCATGCAAGCCCAGAGCCCAGAGCGAGTCAGCCCATCTGGTTCTGTTTCACTTCATGTTACTCATCAGGATGTGTTTGCCAGGAGTTATTTGATGTTCAGGAAGAATTCTGAAGCTTTTGAAAAGAGGTAAATAAAATCCTTTATCCCCCAAAGAGTCGTGAAATTGTGTTTTGCTCAGGAGGTGGCAGGCAGCCATGTGAGGTCTGGCGGCCCCTTCCTAGGCAGGCACTGGGGCTGGGGTTTCATGACTTGTTCTCCTGTCAGTCAGTCCACAGCCCCACTCCTCCAAGCCTTTCCTGATGCTCTCTTGGGATGCCCGAATTTGGGAACAGATGAGGGCTGCCTGTGGGGACAGCCCAGCCTGCCTCATGCTCTTCAGCCAAGAAAGCTTTTAGGGAACGCTCCTCCTGTCATTCCACAGCCTTGCATACATATGAGCTCCAGGCGGGGAGGGGCCAGAGCTGAGTTCCCTGCCACAGAACAACCCTTGAAGGTGACAGAGGGCTTGGGTTGGGAGCGTTCACCCCATCTGCTAGGGTCTTGAAACCTCAGAACAATGGAGCTGACATCCCTCCAAGCCCCTTCTGTGAAAGGTGACAGACATGGATGACTCAGGACTGTCCCTTCTCCCCTAGCATCACCCTCTCCTGGAGTCCGCACAGTCTCCTACACCTACCCTTCACCTGGAACTTCCCAGTGAGCAAAGTTTCCAAGGACTAGATCCTCAAGTCCCTTTTACCCCAGAGTGGACCCCACTCTACCGTGCTGGGTGCTGGAAAACAGCCACCCTTGATCACCCTGCTGAGGAGAGACCAACATTTGTGAGATTGATTGCTTCCTGGGCAGAGTCTGTGTGCTCAGTTCCCCCTTGTGACCATGCCCTTATTCCAGGCGACCCCCCTCCCACATAAGCAGCCAGGTAGAGGGGTGTGAGCTCACCCCTGAACCTCTTCATCTGTTCTGCCTGCTCCCAGGGATGCCAGAGGGCTCCTCCACAGCCTACAGCAGTAGTATCTCAAATCCTGCAGTTCGTGAGGGTCCACACCCAGGGCCTCCCTCATGTCAGCTTACAACCGTGACTATTAAACATTGATCACTCAAATTTAACATCCCATCTTCCCTTTGATATCCTCAACTGCTCTCTGCATAAGACAACAAGCCGCTTTCTGCAGCTCCCTATGAGGGAGACTTCAAAGCCTTCTTTCCCAATCCCTCTACTCTGCAGCTCTGGGATTCTGCCAGCAAGACTGTCAAGGGGGGGGGGTGCTAGGCATCCTCTGCTGGCTGCATCTTTGGGTCTCAGACCTGTGGGGAAGTCCTGGAAGTAGATTCTGGGGTGATCTGTACATAAGTGGGAAGTCAAGAACAAGTTCATTTTTTTTTTCAAGAAATCTGCGGGTCATGGGAAGGGATTTAAAATCAAGGCAGAGGAGCCGGATTTGCATCCCTGAACTGCCTCCTGCTCAGCTCTGGCTCTTCAGGAAAGTTCTGGATTCTTGTCTGTTCAATGGATGTGATCATACTTACCTCTCAGCAAAGACCCTGGACAGGAGATGTGGGTACCTGGCCCCTTTACAAGATACCATTCTGTCTTCTCTTAGTACCGCATGGAGCAGACATATTCCTGGAAAGAAAGCATTGGTGACCTAGTATGACAGGCAACTCTGAACTCCTGTAAGCTAGGCACTTGACAGTCACAGCTGGCTGTCGGGTCATCAGTCATTACCATCCTTCCCCTCACACAATCCGCCAGGGGCTTGTACTTTATTATACCTATGCTAATCACCATGGCTACCATTTATGAAGCATGCCCCATGGATCAAGGCCAGAGCAAAGTGATTGACCAATGTCACCTCACATCAGCCCCACGTGTACCTTGAAGGTAGGATTCCTCATGGGATCTATTTCTGCAAGAGTCTTCCTGAGTAACAACAGGGTCTACCTCATGTTAATGGCCACCTGGGGCTTGAAGCCAGATCCGTGGAGTTGAAATACCAGCTCTTGTCTCTCTGTCTTCCAGCTGTAGTGACATACTCTAAAAGGCCGTATCTCAGTGCCTTGGGGTCTGCAGTGGAAGATGTCACAGTACTGAGAGATGGGACACAGAATAACAAAGACCATCTGCTCTAGTTCATACACCAGTTTCTGAGTAGCCATCCATGTAGTTCATACACCAGTTTCAAGGTGATGGCCCCAGGTTCCTTATGGCCCCAGGCTTAAAGAATAGATCATGATGTCCCTGTCTTCCAGAACCCTGTGGCTCTAGCCCTCTGACATGCTGGCATTGCTAGGAAATGGACCTGCTACCTGCTTTGTGTGGAGGAGGTTTCTCCTAGGAAATGCCACTTGCAGTGGAGTGATCTCTGGGTTTAGGGGACACCAGAATCTCCATTCTATTCCTGGTGCATCCCGAGAGATACCCCAGAAGCTTGGGGTCACTGGCTCCACTGCCACCCTCTGGCATTACACAGACTGCATCTGCTCCTTTGTCAGAGCAGTGTTTTTGTCCAGTGTTCCTTTCTCCAGATCATATGGCTCCGGCCCCTCCCTTCAAAGCATCCCTTGGAAACATGCCTCTGCAGCCTTTAGTTTTGCAGGAGAGAGGGTTATGCAGAGTGGGAGAGAAGGGAGATGATGTCACACACCTGCAGGAGAGCTGCTGGACCAATGCAAAGGCACATAGTACCTGGCTGCAGAAGGGGAGGAAAGTGAGGATCAGGGTCCTCTCCCAGCCTTGATTCCTCCTGCTCAGAAACCCTTTCCATCCCCCCATGGAGAACTCAGCATAGCAGAGTATGTGATGGGTAGCCCCCACCCTGGCCAGAAGCTTTCTCAGGGCTATGGGGGAAATTGCTGGTGTCCTCTGAAGTATATGGCTGGACTCTAGAGACGGGTCATATCAATTTCTAAGACGTCACCTGCACTTGTTGAGGGAGACAGACCCTTTTCTCTCAGAAGAGCCCTCATGTGATAACGCTCCAGACTTGCTACTTACAACCTTTCAAAGCGGCCAGCTGAGGCAGAGTCACAGGAGTGACCCTCCAATGACACTGCTCTTCTTGGAGTGTCTGAAATCCTTCCCACACAAAAAGCATCCCAAAACCCCAAAGCGTCATTTATCATCCTCGTAGATTTTCTTCGCTTTCCGTATAATAAGGAAGGGCAATGGAATGAGGTAGAAAGCGGATTGGCTTTGGGGTTTGAATGAGGACTGACATCATCCTCCCTGTGTTTTGGGGGCAATTTAATTAGCATCTCCCAAACTCAATCCTTTGCTTGGGAAATAAGGTCAATAACGCATGACTCATGGTGTCTGGAAAGACCAAATGAAGTGGCATTGGCAAACTGCCAAATGCTGGTATACAGAGGGTGCTCAATAAGTATTAATGGATGGGATAACAACTAGATGTGGAGAAGACCAGGTGTCTTGATACCCACTTATAAATAATGCCTCAATTGGAGCTTGGGACCGGGAGCTGGCTTCACTTGACAGGCAGCGGGAGAGCAAGCTCAGTACAGCCATTATGGACCACTCATCCCTGAACCACTATCGGCTGTGCATGTTAACACACCTTAGAGTAGCGTTAGGGAGAGCCTACATAAAACGTCAAGGAGTGTGGGCAACCTGGTCGGTCTTAAGAGCTCTGGGAGACAAATCACCAGCTGGGCTCTCAGGACATCTTCATCAGAAATCCAACAGCAGGCTCAGCTCTGACCCTGACCCTGGGAGACATAACAAACAAACACATTATCTCCTATCATCACCCCCATGCGGGTTTCATTCCACACTGCTGTTTGGAGAGGTGGGATGGAGAACCCAGCAGGTATCTGTGGTGCTATGCCTGAGCCCAGATCTGTGCCGACCCCTGAAGTGAACGGAAGGCTGACATTGCCTCCAGAATGTGCCTGGCTCCATACTGGTGGCCTTTTGTCATATCTTTGAATGCTACAACTGCCTGGCAATTAAACAGCATTCGTTCCATTCAGCCACAAAGGAGTGACAAAGAAAAGGAGAGACCTGGCCTGAGGTCACCTTGCCAGAGACTGTGAAATCAGGACTGAAACTTGAATGTGGGCCCAGAGCTGTGTAACCTTTGTCTGACGTTGTCCCCATGGAGGTGCTAAGCAAAGCCCACTATAGCTATCTTCTCATCCAACCCCCTCCCAGGTACCAATCTTATTAATCAATATTTCATTATCTCCATGCTTGAGGACACCGATGTCAGCTTGCTTAAGGGACCGGTTCAAAGTCGAGCATATGCTTATCACATGAAGTGGTTTTCGAGCCCTGGTTTGTACCTCTTTAGAATCCCTAATGCTGACCATTCTATTAGGATTTCAGCCTCAAGCTCTTTCATCTATCATCAAACCCATTCTCGGGGGGAGGGGGCTACTAGAGAGAAGGTTCTAGGTTAGACACCGGGTTACAGAGGCGGCCTAACCATGGTCCCTGCCCTCAGATGTCTCATCCAGCCTTCCAGCTACCGAGAGACTCCTTGGCCATGACTGATCTGACCCCTCTCCTCTGAGTTCACTTGGATGCGGCTATTAAAGAGGCAGGATGGGTGGGGGTGGGGGTTGGGGGCTGGGGGTGCATTTCCACTGGGGGAGCGTGATCAGCCCTCATAAGCTCTTCCATTTGCTCCCTGCTCTGTCTGCCACCTCCACTGGCATCTCTTATCCTTCCATGGAACTGAATCAGAACACGGGCTAGACAGCACAATGACAGACTTCGACATTGCAGACTTTGACATACCTTGCCCCTGATCACATCCCATCAGGCAGAGCAAGCCACCTTTGAAATGACTATACCCAAGGTGGGTTGAGATGCCCATGTCCTACAAACCTCTGAGAAGAAAAGAACAGGAATATTCACAAACCACCACCAGGACACTTGACTACAAAAACAAAACAAAGCAGTAAGATGATTATAATTTGGACA